CTAATCTGACTGAGCTGGAGCTGTTTCAAAGAAGAATGGGCAAAGATTTCAGTCTGTAGATGTGCAAAGCTGGTAGAGACAGACCCTAAAAGACTGGCAGCTGGAACTGCAGCAAAAGCTGGTTCTACAAAGTATTGACTCAGGGGGATGAATAATTACGCACACCCCACTTTGCAGTTATTTATTTGTAACAAATGTTTGTAATCATGTCTGATTTTCGTTCCACTTCTCACGTGTGCACCACTTTGTGTTGGTCTTTCACGTGGAAGTCCAATAACATCGATTCATGTTTGTGGCTGTAATGAGACAAAATGTGGGAAAGTTCAAGGGGGCTGAATACTTTTGCAAGCGACTGTACATTGTCAATGTGGAGCAACCAACCAGCAGGGCAGAAAATATAGTCGTTTGCAGGGGAAGAGCTGGAGCTTTTTTGGTGATTTATCAATAGTGCCTCAATGGACCTTAACCACATGATTGCATATGACCAGTAAGTTAGTCCATGTTTAATTAAAGATTTCCAAAGCAAGAGAGTAATGGGATAGCGGTTTAACATGTAGGTCAGTGTTGTGAGAAACAACTGTGTCATTCCTGTATATCATGCAAAATGTATGCTAGCTTACTTTTGCTCCTGTTTTCTACATAATTCATGTTTTTGCACATTACTGATAATATAGCTAGTATGTAGTAACATTTATATCCGACTCTGTGTGATAAGTTGTTTGTTTTTCATGTGTTTTTTGTAGCCCAGAGATACCAACCACATCTGGAAAATGCACATGGTGAAGGGTCAGGAGGGCCTTGGCATAAAGATCACAGGGGGGCGTGGCTCCAAGCGTTCCCCTCATGGCATCATCATTACACATATAGAGGAGGGAGGCGCCATTTACAGGTGCAGTTAGGGAGGAAAAATGTATAAAATACATGGTTTAGTTTATATTTGTTGACCTCTCTCCAACCCCCCTTCTGTGTGTGTGTGTGTGTGTTTTACAGGGATGGGCGTCTTCATGCTGGTGATGAGTTACTGATGATTAATAATCAGTCTTTGGTGGGTCTTACTCATCAGGAGGCTGTTGCTATCCTCCGCTCTGCTGCAGGTCTGGTCCAGCTGGTGGTCGCCAGTCGGGTAAGTGCACAAACCCAAACACAGACACTGGAGGCGTGAGTGAGTTTGATCAGAAAGTGAGCAATTTATTGAGGCTAGAACCATAACATAATTAAAAGGCAAAACGTGAAACTGAGACTAAAGTAACTAATTAATGCTTCGATTTTAAATATGATCAACCTATCTCTAATAATC